CACACACACACACACACACACACACACACACACACTCATTCATACATTTCTTAATCCTAAAAAAAAACTCTTTAAATCTCATTATGCAAACACATAAACAAATTAACTATCATGCAATCATTAACCCTGACCCATTTTCTTTTCATTTACAACAATGGGCAGGGTAAATTTAAACTTCTTTTTTCTTTATTACACAAAAGATAGAGCTTCAAGTTTCAGAACTTTTTTTCCTGCTATACAGTGTAGCCAACAAGAGGCATAAATCAATGGATTTAAACTCCATTTCTAATCTAGCTTTGTGCTTTAGGATACGCAATGAAGAGATGGCTAGGGCACTCAGATTCTTTGGTTAATAAGTTTCTAACTGATTTATTTATATTTTACATATTGAAGTGTCCATAAAGAAAGGGCAACTTTAAATGCTGTGGCCAGCCTAAGATGAAAGAAGGGATATAGACAAACATCCTGAGAATCAGTCCACACTCTAATCTGTCTGAACCCCACGAAGTTCTCTCTGATCATCATACTGAAGAGTTATTTTTATTTTTTAGGTTCTTTGGAGGCTGTTATTAGTAACTATTGTTTTCATCCCACTCTAATGACTTCTGGTTTGTTTGTTTTTCTTGCTGATGCCTACCAAATCACTTATCAGATAGATAATTCAGCTATTTAAATAATGAAGAACATATAGACCAAAGAAAAGTATAGATCACTTAGTATTTATTATGTTTAACTGAACTTTTTTAAATTACAGAATTCAACTCCAAAATAAGGTAATAAATGGCTCTTAAATTGTTATTCACTTGGGTTTTTCCTAAAATTTTAACACAGCAAAACACCTTAAAGACACATGAATACGTTCTTTGTACTTCCAGTGGCTTATAATCATGAGACAAAGACCATGTTTATCCATAAAAAATTAGACAAACAGCTCAATATTTTAAAATATTAATGACATGAAATAAAAGTAAAGAAAAAGTAAAAACAATATACTGCAGGTCTACCACAATTGTTTTGGTAAATGACAATAGAATCTTGTTTAAAATAATGCTCCTTTGCAGAGCATATGCTGTGCTTTGTATGCTTGGCACATTAACACTTGGTAACTGCTCAGCCTCCCCCTGTAGTTTCTTGAGCAGGACCCTAATTCAGGGTCCACTTTCAAACCCTGAGCCTCTCATCTGCCTGAATCCCCAAGAACCCTTCTGATGGGAGTCTGACCCTTCTTCTTCCACAGCCTCTTAAGGCTTTCCTATCTTTCCTTATTTTTTCCCAGGTTCAAACTAGGTGCTATTTCTAATCTCAGCAATTCAAATAGCTGAGTATCCCTCCCACAGCTCTTATCTCAGATGTTGTCCTTTCACTGACTAAATTATGGCTATAACATAAAGAGACTGACTCTATCCACAAAAATCATTTTCCCTATTTTATGATCATATCCCCTATAATGCAAAAAAGATTGATGATGCCTGATTTAGAACTTAAAAACATTCAATGAGTTTAGGTAGAATATATACTGATCTAAAGTCATTTAATATCTAATCTTTTCTATTATTGTTATTTGCTTTTAAAAATATAAAAATTGTAAACATTCTCTAAACATTTCAGTAGAAACCCTGTTACTCTGCTTTTTATTTAGAGAGTTCAAAAAGAACAAAAGTAATACCATGTTCTTTTTGGCAAAATCCTGCTCCAACTCCTAGACCTACCATCATTATACATTTCCCAACATTAGACAGCTCTGTATGCTAAGCATGTCGCATGACAACTGCTGCTGCCGCTCCTGAACACAACCTGCAACAGAGCAGCAGAAAACTGATTGTAATCTCTCCCTGAGAGCTGTTCATATGCTCCCTAGCACCTTACCCTTATCACTCCATACCTGACCCAGCCTCAGGAACCATGCAAACATATATAAGTTAGGACACAAAAAACTGGAGCACCTCCTGCACAAAAGGCTGCATTACTTGCAAAGTGGTAGCATTTCCTTTCTATTTGTCAAAAAAATAAAAAGGATCAGGTAAGGTATAGGGGATGCTGCTGACAGGCAGGAACAAAGAAGAGACTGATGAGGCTAACTACCAGTGTTCACCACAACCCCAGAGTCAGCACATTCCCCTCATTATGACAGTGCTGAACAAATCTGATCTTCTATTCAAAAGGAAGAACTGATCATGCAGGAAATTCCAGTCACTTATTGCTCTTCTAGCAAGGTTTTACTGCATGTTTTTAAGAGTGAAATTAATAAGATGTTACATCTAAATGAATAACTTAAACATTAATTTTAAAAAATAGTTTTTGCTTTTGTTCTACACATAAATGACTAATGAAATCTATCAGCTCTGGGGAATCCCCTCAGCATCTTTATCAGATATGGCTGATGAGGTCATCTAAAACCAGAATGTCCGACCTGATAAAAGTACCACTTCTCAGAGTATTAATGCAATGACTTAAAACTGTATTACCTGAATAGTCTCCATGGTGAAGTGTCAGAAAAAGTGAAACAATAAATATTTTCCACAGCACCATAAGGTTTTATAAAATACTACTTCAGTAAATGTACAATCTCAAGATTTTGGTCCATCATTCATACTAGTCACAACCTCTTTTACTGATAACAATTCTGACAGAGGCCATATAGGCACACTATAACATGAAAATGATTATATTTTACTGAAGAACCTATATGATATACTTAGCTGGTCACTGCTTCAGCTATATCCATTGAGTACTAGTGGACTCAAAGGCCAGGAAAGATGAGTTTCATCATTTATACTCTAGTCACAAATTCTGATTTGCCAAAAGGACCTAAATGGTAACTGACTAAGATATTTGTTATACCAAAAAGTCTTTATATTGTTTGCTTTCATATTGTGCTCTCTGGGTTTTGTTTCTATATGATAATACTTTGTAAATGGCTGAGTTTTAAAAATAAGAATACAATGATTCTCTTTAAATTTTAAAATAAGCACAAAAGGAAAACAGACTGATTTTATAGCCAAATAATCTGGAATTATGTTTAACAAGTTAATAATAGTAAAAAATATGAGACTGAATTTCCCCAATATCCAGCATGCTTGTGTATCTCCTACGTGTGCTATACCAACTGACATAAGCAAAACATAATTGAAAGTATCAATTTATCTACCAACAAACACACTGCATTGCAAAGCCAAATATTAATTAGGTTTGGGATTATCAATTTCATGTCTCCCCTCCATTAATGCAGAGAACCAAGTCTTGTCTTTACTATAAATTAGCTAAAGCTAGAGTAACTTACTATAAAATTATTTGTAACAAAATAAATATTTTCAGTCCCTCTACACTAAATGATATATAAATCATTAGCATTTTATAATATTAGATTAGGTCACTTTTGGGGACACAAACATACTGTACAATCCTGAGTAAAAGGTTAGGGGTACAGTCTCTTGGGGATCTTTCTTGACCAGAAATCAAAAAGAAAATACATAAACCACAACTTGTAATAATCCCCATTTGCATTAAAAGTACCATGAGTTCTTTTTACTTTGGTAAATAAGTTTATATATGTAAACCATTTATCTTGATAGAGTAAAATTAAGCAGAGTTTCTGCTAGGATCCCTCCATCACCTTTTGACACTGATATGATAAATAGTCCGGAAGAGAAGAGCAAGAGGATCTGAACCACAGAGCTATTACATTAGTATGAACTCGGCAATGCAGTAAGCAGGGAACGGATGGGAGCATCTGACAGGCCAATAGCCCCTCATTGCCTAAAATAAAACAAAAATGAAAAATTTTTTTAATATAAAAGGACTTAAATGGACATTTCTCCCAAGAAGATACACAAATGAGCAATGAGACACAAAAAGATGTTCAACATCACTCATTACTAGGAAAATATAAATCAAATCTAAAATGAGATATTACTTCAGATCTAATGGATGGCAATTATTTTTTTTAAAAAATAACAAGTGTTGATAAAGATGTAGAAAAACTGGAACCCCTATGTATTGCTAATGGAAATGTAAAATGGTACAGTTGCTATGAAAATGATGTGGTGATTCCTCAAAAAATTAAATATGGATAGCTGGTCCTATAATCTCTGTTACTCAAGAAATTAAGGCAAGAGGATCACAAGTTTAAGGCCAGGCTGGGCAATTCAGCTAGACCCTGTCTCAAAATAAAAATTTAAAAAAGAAAAGAAAGTGGGAGGTATCTGTGGTAAAGCACTTGCCTAGCAAGTGCAAAGCCCCATGTTTAATCCCTAGTACAGGAAGGCAGGCAGGAAGGCAGCAATCAGGCATGCATATGGAATTCACATGTGATCCAGCAATACCACTCTTGCTATATAACCAAAAGAACTGAAAATAGGGACATGAACAGGTATCTCTACATCTATGTTCATAGCAGCATTATTCATAAAAATCAAAGAAGAAAATAACCCATGTGTACGCTGACAAATGAAATAATAAAAATGAGGTATATTCATGTAGTAGAATAGTATTCAAAACCAGGAAGGAAAGAAATTCTGACATATGCAACTATATGAATTAAGCTTGAAGATGTTATGCTAAGTGAAATAAGCCAGATACAAAGGACAAATATTATATGACTCTGTTAATCTAATATATCTAAAGTAGTCAAATTCATAAAGTCATAAAGCAGAATGGTAGTTGCCAGGGACTGAAGAAGGAAGGGGAAATGGGGAATTAATGTTTAATGAATACAGTTTCAGTTGGGGAATATTAAAAAGTTCTAGAGATGGATGTCAGATGGTTGCATAACAATGTGAATGTATTTAATGCCACTGAACTTATAAATTTAAAAATGGATAAAATAGTAAATTTTATGTTATGTGAATTTTTCAATAAAAATTTTTTAATTCAATCTTAAAAACACACTCATCTGAAAACCCTCATAATAGTAAATAAAACTCCAAGCAATCTGACACTTGAACGACTTGAGTTCTGATTATAAGAAAGCTCCTATAAACACAAGACTGCCTTTACATAATTCTACGAACCTATAATGTCAATAACATGAAGTCTCAGTTTCTGTTGCAGTGTTTTTAGGGCAGAAGGCAGAGCAGCTTGAGATTCTGATGTTTTTATATTTTGCTTCACATCATTTGCAAAGGATAACCAGAGTTTGCCAAAGTCTTCAGTTGAGATTTTTAATGGTCTGAAAATAATTTTTAAAATTAGATTTGTGTGCGTAAGAATAAAATTCTTCTAAACACATTTTTAAAAACTCATGGAAATAAAATATAATCACTATAAATCTGGGTCCCACAAAATTTATGTTTTTAAACCAAATATAATTAGAATGCTTAGTGTCATCCTCCACCTAATGAAAACACTGAAAGCAGAAGATATTATTAAATTGCAAATGTCTTTTCAATAAACCACTTGATTTTCTCTTTTTCTGGATATTAGTCATTCTAGTAAAAATTTACCAAGTAATTTCATGAATCATTCAAATATAAAATAAAACCTTTCTTTCGAGTACTCTTTTGATTTGGGGTTGATGTGATATTCTAACAAAGCCAGGTAAAAGAGTACGAATACAAAGACATAGTGTCTTAACTAAATTAGACCAAGAAAAAGAATTTAAACAAATATGGTTTTAAAAATAGTTATGAGGGGCTGGAGTTGTGGCTCAGTGGTAGAGTGCTTGCCTAGCATGCATGAGGCACTAGGTTCTATCCTGGGCACCACAAAAAAATAAAATAAAACAAATAAAGTTATTGTGTCCATCTACAACCAAAAAAGTATTTTAAAAAATAGTTATGACACTAAAGATAATATAGTTAACAATGGGTTTCTTAGGGGATGGGATTATTATTGGAAACTTTCACTTTCAACTTATATTTTTCCATGGCATTTGAATTTTTATAAGCATTGATTTTACATTTAAGGGGAAAAAAAGATACTTTTAAAGATACAGAGGATTTTATCAGTTTCTACCAAACAACTGTTTGTGACACATATTGTACTTCTTCTTACTAATGTTCATCATAAAAAATACTTTCACAGTCCCAGAATAGAAGATCTTCTAAGGCTAGATTTTACCTTATACAACACCATGCACATAAACCCTCTTTGAAAGATTGATAAACAAATTTTTTACTAAAAAATTTTAAGGAATGGACAAAAATTATAGCAGTGTAACATAACTGGATGCGTAGAGATTAAAAAATTGTATAAATATTCACAGGCATTCTGCATTCTTGGTTCAGGCAGCCTTCATTTTTGAAAACACTAAAAAACAGTATATTTATAAAACTAAATTAGAGAAGAAGAGCTAAGAAACTATTTTCAATTATTTTAATAAATCTATACACTGCCTAACATAACCCAAATGCTATGTTAATAAACTTTAATAACTGTGTTGGGTAATTTTCTTACCAATCTCTAGAGCTTAACAAACTGAGTTTATGAAAAACTGATTAAATGAATGAAATACAAATGAAATTTTAAAAGCCTAAAAAGTCATGCAGAATCTATGACATTATTCCAGTTTAGATATTACTTCCTTTCAGAAGTTTCTCAAGATCACCAACCAACCCCAACCTAAATCAGATGTCACAGTATAATCTCTCATTATGCCATTTGTTTTCTCTTAACAGCACAAGTCATAATAACATATATTTATGTGATTGTTCAATGTCTCCTCCCTACACTAAAAGCACTCTGAAGACAGGGGCTGTGTTCAGTTTTTAATTGTTCTATTGCCCAGCATTTAGTCTAGTGCCTCCGTCTAGGGGAAAAAAAGCCTAAAAAATATTTGCTGAAAGAATGACTAAATTAACATTCCAGAAAATACTTACCTAATGAAATCTAACAGTGATAAGTTTATGGAAAATTCCAGCTGAACAGAATGAGTATCCATCAATTGATAATTTATAAAGCCAGAAAGATTTCCTTCTGTAAAAGGCTTTTCCAAGTGTACACTGTATTGAAAGTTTCTGGTGCTTTCTGCTTCCACTACAGGCAAACAACATCCAAGTTGTTCAGTGATCTTTAAATAAAAGTAATAAAAGTATTAAAATAAGGATCAATACCTCTATTATATGAACATCAATTTTCTATTTAATTGAAATGGTAAAAAAGATACTAATGTAAGAAGCTAACAAACTACATTATGAAGATGACTGACAACACACTAGCATAGTACTATACAGGCCAAGATTATGTTCACAAGCAGCATTACAGTTAAAACCCAGGTATAATTTTTTTAAAGAGTACAAAATTCTAGTCTGGTGGCTCTCAATCCTGGCTGGGACCAGATTCTTTTTTTTTTTCTTCAAGTATTGTGGATTGAACTCAGGGCCTCATGCATACCAGGCAAGCATTCTACCACTAAGCTATATTCCTAGCCTCTTGCACCAGATTTTTAAAGCTGGAAGAGTTCTTAAAATAACAATAATACAGATTTCTTGCATTCTCATTCTCTACACTTACTCCAGCTGGTAGGGTTCAGGCAACTGGAATAGGTTTTATCTTGGTTTTTATTTTTTTTTTTTTTCATATTCCACTATTGATTCAAATGTACATCTACAGTCAAGAACTTCTGCCCTGGTCAGTGGATCAGACCATATCTCTTTCAACCAATTCTAACTCATAGAGGAAACTGGGTCAGTTTTGTGGAAGACAGATATACTGGTCAAACTTCACTGCAACTCCACCAAGGACATCTATACGCTAATGCAAATAAACATACTTCCAGAAATCACAATGGTAGTCTTTTGCAGCTGCAGAAGCAACAGAACAGTTGCCTGAACACTCAGTAAGAAGTAATACATAAGTGAAAGGAAAAAAAGTAGATAGTAAACACTATATTCTTACTCTTTGATGTTTAGTTTTGTTTTATTAAATCTATGAATTTGATAAGAGTAAATGAAATTGTATAGTAGTTTTGATTTGCATTTCTCCAATTACTAGGAATTTTGAACATCTTTTCATATATTTGTTGATCGACTGTATCTTCTTCTGAAAAGTGTCTGTTCAGAACCCTACTCTAAGATTTTATCTCATGCCAGTCAGAATGACAGTTATCAAGAATACAAACAATAAAGTGTTGGCAAGGATATAGGGGAAAAGGTACACTCATACATTGCTGGTGGCACTGCAAATTGGTGCAGCCAATCTGGAAAGCAGTATGGAGATTCCTTAGAAAATTTGGAATGGAAAACCATTTGACCCAGCTATTCCACTCTTCAGTCTTTACTCAAAGAACTTCAAATCAGCATGTTAAGTGACGCATCCACATTGATGTTTATAGCTGCTCAATTCACAATATCTAAACTGTGGAATGAAACTAGATGCCCTTCAATAGATGAATGGATAAAGAAACTGTGTTATATATACACAATGGAATATTACTCAGTATTAAAAGAGAATAAAATTATGGCATTTGCAGGTAAATAGATGGAGTTGGAGAATATGATGCTAAGTGAAACAAGTCCATCCCCCAAAAACAAAAGCCAATGTTCTCTCTGATAAGTGGATACTGGGGGTGGTCAGAATGGAAAAAATAGAGGAATTTTGATTGAGCAAAGGGGAGGGAGAGGAGGGGAGGAGACATGGGGGCAGGAAAGATGGTGAAATGAGATGGATATCATTTACCCTAGGTATATGTATGACCACACATATGGTGCAACTCTACATATTATACAACCAGAGAAATGAAAAGTTGTGCTCCATTTGTGTATGATGAATCAAACTGCATTCTACTGTCATATATACCTAATTAGAATAAATGAATTAATTAATTTAAAAATTAGTGTTGATGAGGCTAGGGTTGTGACTCAGTGGTAGGGCGCTTGCCTAGCATGTGTGAGGCATTAGGGTTCAATTCTCAGCAACACATATAAGCAAAATAAATAAAGGTCCAACAATAACTAATAAAAAATTTTTAAAGTATTGAAAAAAATTACAAAAAAAAGAGTAAATGAGATATTTAAAGAGTGCAGAAAGAAAGAACCACAAAATATATATTGAAAATAATTTTTTAAAAAATTTTCATGTGCCGTTTATTGCTGTATCACTTATAGATATTAACTCGTTTAATCCTCACAATAACAGGCATATACTGTTAACAAAAAGGAAGCTGAGGCACAAAACTGCTAAATGTCTTGATCATGTAACACAGATAACAATAAGCTATAGAAGCAAGATCTAAGTCAAGCAGTATGAGTCAAAAGCCTACATTATTTGCTGTGCTTTATCTAAACTCGCTTTGTTTCTATGGCCTTTCCCAATAAAATCATTATTATGCTTCCTTGTCTCTTTTGAATATTTTGTCCCTACTCAGAACAATAAAAAAATTATCACATCTCTTACCTGTTTTTATTAAAGAGGTAAGAAGGATGTGGACGAAATTTACAAACCATCAGACAAGCCAACAGCAGAAACACTAAGTAAGCGCTATCCATTTAAGGTAGAATGATAAAACATTCATTGTCTTACCTTGAAATTTTCTGCAGGAAAAATTTCTAAGTTAGCACTTTTCAATTCGGAACCACTCTTACTAGCAACTGACCAGACCATTAACAAACAATCATCTTTCCAAATCTTGTAAGAAGATATTGATACAGCTTCATTATTACAGACCTCCATAAGATTTGAATGCATGTACTCAGTAGTTTCTTCCAACAAAGAAGAAGCTAAAGAGATTCCCTTGGCAACTGAAGCTGCAGTAGATGGAGGAGGATGAAAAATTTCCATGTCATTATCAGCAAACAAAGAAGGTGCAGACAGGCTGCAATCTGAGAGTTTCTCAACCAAGGGCAGTTCTGTGAGAGACTCAGAATCCAAAAGTTGTGAGCTGAAAGAAAATTTCTTGAATTCTTTGTCTTCTTTCCCTTGCAAAGTATTCAAGTAATTATTTTCACAGGTCACCTTTGATAAAGAACTAAGGGAAGAACAGGTCACACTATGAGCACTGGTTGTTTCTTCTCTTTGGGCTTCCTTGCCTTTTGATTTCCTTCTGAACTTGTGAGACACTGTGTCTGCTTTTCCCAGCTACAAAAATAAAACATAATAATAATATAAAAAAACTATTTTACTAGTCATGAGTTTTAAAGATTCTTCTATAATTTCAGGTGAGTAATTTACTCACTTGCTAAAATTCTATCTAAAGCATAGATTAACAAAAAAAAAATCAGAGATGAATAAAATGTTAAGCCCTAAAATTGTGACAGCTACATAACTTTAAACTATTAGTTAAACCTTGTTTCTCATTAGAAACATAAAATTAGAAAAAGAAATAAGGTCAAAAAGTCAGTCATGAACAATTCCTAAAAACTTGCTAGATTTCAGAATATTCAAAATAATTGGATAAATTAATAATTGTGAGAAACTCAGCACCCCCCCACACACACATACCTTTTTTCCCCAGAGTTGTCTTGCAGAAGCCTAAGTTACCCTCAATAAAAGGATGTTCCAAACCCTGATTTAGTAATCTATAATAATTGTGATTTCACAGTCAATGAGTTAATAAACAGGGAAGAAAAGCTGGTTTTACCTGAAGAATCAAATGGCAGAGGCTGACTGAAAAACTCAGCAGGAAAAAATTCTGTAACTGATTAGCAATGTTTGCCACAGACTGAGAAGACAGCAATGGCACACTGATCTAACCCTGAGGAATGGTCTAAAAATCTATTTAAGGACAATCATGGTATAAGTGTATATTGGCCTCTAGAACCTAGAATTAGTCAGCAGACTAGCAGTGTTCTCAGTGTCTCCATGCTCCTGGGGGCTTCAACACTGCATGTGAAGGTAGCTCTTCACGTGATTCTAATTAACCAGAATTTTACTTCCCTTTTCATACTTTCTCTATCCCTCTCAAGCCCCAACACCTTCCAATTCTCAACAGATTGAGTTTATTTCATATCTCCCAATTGAGAAGTTGTCAAAGAAGAACATTCCATTAACACACACACACACACAAAAAAAAAAAAAAAAAAAGAGGGGAAATGGAAGAAGGAAGGAAGTGGACAAATATTTTCCATTTTTGGTAGTTATGGGATTCAAATTAGATGTATATTAGACTACTTGACACTGTCCCTCAGGTCACTCTGTTCCTTTTTTTGTTTGTTTGTGTCTAATGCTTTCTTCTGCACTGTCAATCTGCTATTAATTAGAAGCTATAGAAGCCAGAGGGCATCATCATTACAATACATAAAAAGCATAGCACTGTATGTCCAGACAAAACGTCTTAAAAATAAAAGTGAAATAAAAAAGGTGAAGCCGAAAAAGTAAACTTTGATGGTTACAATAACATGAAAAAAAAAAAAAAACTTACAATAGACCCCAGGCCTACAAATAAGAACTAATTAAAATAGAATACATGGCAGTGGCTCTGGAGGCTGAAACAGGAAGGTGAGTTTAAGGTTAGCCTCAGCAAAAGCAAGGTGCTAAGCAACTCAGTGATACCCTGTCTCTAAATAAAATACAAACCAAGGCTGGGGATGTGGCTCACTGATCAAGTGCCCCTGCGTTCAATCCCCGGTACCAAAAAAAAAAAAGGATGACATGAATATTTATTTAACTAAGAGCTTTAAACATTAGAAAAAAAAAAATAAAAAGAACTGCTGAAGAAAAGCAGTCATCAATCAGGTATGATACAGTAAGAGCATATCCAGTTAGTCCCAATCCTGTCTGCTTTCTACTAGCAACACGGAAAAGGTTGGGGTTGAGAGCCAAAAGGATACATGCTAATTTTATATGGTATAGATTCTTCTCCTGCTTGCTCAGAATCAGCACCTGTCTTTTACTACAACTTTCATTCTTTTATTATGAAAATAATGTCAGCAAAAGACATTGTAAAAATCATCATAATCCTAATATCTAATTATCATTATAAAAATATCATATAGTTCCTTCTAGCCTCAACAATTTTATTTTCTTTACGTAAAGCTCTAAACAAGATATAAATAAAACTTTATACACTGCATTTTTTGTTTAACATACCATAAGTATTTTCATTTCACAATGCAATTCTGATCATTTTAGTGGTTGAAAAATATTCTGAGAGAATATAATTTATATAACCACTCTCCTACAGTTAGACGTCTATCTAAAATGATTCCTATTTTTCACTATTAAAATTCCACTTTGAGGTGTACTTTTTGCACACATTCAGTATTGTTTTCTATTATTATTAACAATATTTCAATCAAGCCTCCTTCCTTTAGTAAACTGTCCTATTCACCCACAGGGGTGGTAATACCCATAGTCACATGTATAGCTTTAGTTGGACCCTGATTCTTGCCCTAGCTGACATGACCGGAGAGAACACCTGGCTTAAGCTGACCAGATTTCCTCCTCAGGGACATAAAAGGTATGTTACTGGTCGCTATGGAGTTTAGGAGATGATGAAAGCCAGGGAGGCCACTTCTCGCCATGTATATAGATGAAAGCCAGTAACTACGAGGAGCCAATAATAGGAAACACAAACTCTTTGAGGAGCATAACTGATTACTTACCAAATTGATTGTACCTTCTGATCCTAGCCCAACAAATAATGATGAAGCCAACAGCTGCTTTTCTTTCTCCTCTTTAGATTGTGTAAGCACTTGAGACTGATCCCTTTTTGTTATAACTTGATCCATATTCTCTATTGTTAAATTCTCTTGAGGAATAGGTGGAGCTTCCACTTCATCACCAATTTTGCTTTCCTTCTTAGGAAGATAGCCCTCTTTTCCCCACAATTTCTTTATACCTTCTAGCTTCAAGCTACTTGTTCTAGGGAAATAGATAAGGAAAGCAAGTGAATTTAATAACTGTCAAATAGTTACTTTCTGGAGTAATTTTTTTTTCAATGTGTTTTATTGACAATGGCCTTTTAAAAGCAGCTTTAGTATTATATTTTATATACCAGAAGAAAACTTAGATCATTAGATTTCATTTTAGTTATGGCCAACCTCCCCACCCTCAAACCAAAGAATTTAATGTAACAGAACTCCAAACTTAGTTTTAAAAACCTCAGATCATTTAATTTTCATTTAATTGCTTGAATAAGTTGTACAAAAATAGAAGTACTATAAATCAATTCCCCTTCTCCATTGACATTTCAAAAATATCTTTAATTCTGATGGAATAAAATCAGAAATGACTCTTAAGTTTCTTAGCTATATAAAAGGATTAAGCCTAAATTCACAAAATAATAATTCATAAACATAAATTCACTAAATAAAATCTTGATGAAAGCAAAAAAAAAAACTATTCAAATACACTCCTGTGTACAAATTTACTTTTAATCCAAAATGTTTACTTAATGTGAACACTAACTACATTTTCAACTATTATAAATGTCATTTTGTAAAAATGAAAAGAAGGCTGGTGTTATAGTTTAGTGGCAGAGTGCCAGCCTAGGATATTCGAGACCCTGGGTTCAATTCCTAGCAAAACACACACACACACACACACACACACACACACGCACAAAATTTGTTTACATAAGAAAAAAGATTTTAGGAAAAAGCACGAGACTTAGGAATTTTTTACAGCTGAGTTGAAGAAAAATTAAAATTCTGATTAGAAGCCAGGTGCCCAATTCAAAATTTAGCATACAAACTAACCTAATGTTTTCCCAAAAGTTACAACTGTGAATCTGGACTAACTAATACAATCATAAGCACAGGTAGAAGTAGCCAGACTGTCTCTATTATTCTCACAAAACTGCATGTATCTGTTAATTACTGGACTGTGATAATCATTCCACAATGTAAATACATTATCAAAAACACCATGTCGTATACCTTAAATATATGCAATTTTTACTTGCCAATTACATCTCAATAAATCTGTGGAGTGGGGAAAGCAAGAAAAAAAAGTCTTTGTACTTGGCTCATCTGTCATGTTTCTAATAGCACTTTAAAAATTTATACTACAAAATAGAGTAGATGCTAAATTTAATCTTTAAAAAATGCTCAAAAATATTTGTACTCATTTTATTACTTGCATCTAATTTTCTGGAATCATGATCAATTTGGTTTCCTGTACTAAACTAATTAAAAATAATAGGTAGTAATATTTCATACTGATACTATTAGGTAGTAAGTAGTTGAAGGGAAAACTGAAAGCTAATAAATCATTTCTTACAGAGGATTGGTTCATTTCTCCTCATGATTTTTACTGAGAGATATTCCTTCAAAAATATCTTCATTTCCCCCTTTTCTTTCAGGTACAGCACAGATTTATAGAAAGTTTTTAAAAGATAGGGAAAAGAAGTTATCTAAAAAACCTCTTGGAAGATGAACATCATTACATGTACATGTATGACTACATGAATGGTGTGACTCTGCATCATGCACAACAAGAGAAATGAAAAGTTGTGCTCCATTTGTGTACAATGAGTTGAAATGTATTTTCTTTTTATTATTTTTTTCCAATACAACTAGAACAAAAATAATAAAAAGAAATTGGTGAGGATGTGGGGGGGAAAGGTACACTCACACATTGCTGGTGGCACTGCAAATTGGTGCAGCCAATCTGGAAAGCAGTATGGAGATTCCTTAGAAAATCTGGAATGGAACCACCATTTGACCCAGCTATCCCACTCCTTAGCCTTTACCCAAAGGACTTCAAATCAGCATACTACAGTGACACATCCACATTAATGTTTATAGCTGCTCAATTCACAATATCTAAATTGTGGAATGAACCTAGATGCCCTTCAAGAGATGAATGGATAAAGAAACTGTGTTATATATACACAATGGAATATTACTCAGCATTAAAAGAGAATAAAATTATGGCATTTGCAGGTAAATAGATGGAGTTGGAGAACATGAAGCTAAGTGAAGTAAGTCCATCCCAAAAAACCCAAAGGCCAGGAGTTTTCTCTGATAAGTGAATGCTGATCCATAATGGGGGTGGAGAGGTGGGAAGAATGAAGGAACTTTGATTGGGCAAAGGGAAGGAAGTGAAGAGGAGAGGTTATGAGGGCAGGAAAGATGGTTGAATGAGATGGACATCATTACCCTAGGTACATGTATGACCGTATATAGAGTGGAACTCTACATATTGTACAACCAGAGAAATGAAAAGTTGTGCTCCATTTGTGTACAATGAATTAAAATGCATTCTGCTATCATATATACCTAATTAGAATAAATAAAAAAATAATAGTAAACCTCTTGGAAGAAAACTGGTTGTCCTTGCCATAAGCAGATCCAAAACTGATCATGAGAATCACTAAAATGACCTCTCATACCTCCAGGATACTCAAAAGCAAGCACTTCTAGGGAAATCATGAATACTCACAGCTGGGTTTACAACATCTCTGTACCCCCTTTAACCAAAATATTCCCTTTAATTATTTACAAAACAAAAACAACAAGAACAGGTGTCCATAAATCATTTATTGATAAATGACTCAAATATTAGTTTGAAAAAGAAAAAAAAGATGTGATGGATGCCTTCAATAAAGGACTGTTGCCCAACTGCTGAAAATGCCCAGATCTCAGTCTGTTCAGGGACTGAATCAGCTGCAAAAGGCTACCTCACCAAAGATCATGGTCCTACCAGGGCAGCCCATATCCAATCATTGATGAACAGAAGTATAAAGTTGTGGTCAATCATCTTGTCCCAGCTCAGGATAACTAATTCTGAAAGGTCATTCTAACTCCAAAACTTTCCATGGGATCAGCTGGGGCTGTCATTGGTACTACATTGCCTCTTTGTCTGGCCAAACCGGCTTCTTTCCCTTTCCTTCTACAGATGTGGATCCCAAGGGCACCCACTTAATATTCTACAAACTAAATGCCATTGCAGAATGTGCTCCCCAGGGAATCCAATCCATATCAGCAGGCAAAATGGGAAATGGGGGACAAAAGAGTGTAAAAGGAGTCCTAAACTATTTTAAAGATTTTTCTCAATTACTTCATCTGCATACATGCCTATTATCAATACATTTTGCTGTGCATTATTACAGACAATCTAAAAAGTGGGAAAATAAGTACAAGCAACATAAAACCATTTAATACATAAAATATGCCTCTTAATGATATGAAACATACTGTAAAGGAATTTTTTTAAATGTGAGTCATCTTTGCCTAGATTTTGACAACACTATTATACATGGTTTTATATATTGTGTCTTTGTTTCATTTTTAATCAGACCATTCAGAAACCCAGATGTAAAATCTAAACCAGTAACCACTCAAAAGATTAGAGGTATACTTTAACTTAGCTCTAGGAATTCACACTTAAGGCAAGGTTCTATTTAGTAAAGGACTTATAGGTAAGAAATTCTAAATTAGGCTTGCTATTTATTTATGCTCAGTTTGCCAGGGACTACAAAAGAGTATCTGTCTTCCTTCTAAAGCTGATTCATCTTACTGATTTAACACACAGGTTCCCAATCTGAAATAATATGTGAATTATGATCTTCTTTGAAAAGAAATTTTAAATTCATTTCTTATGTTCCATTTCACAATAATATAACACATATAATTTCTTAGCAGTCTTGCCAAATAACTTTTCTCTGAGGGTGGTACAGGTAGTAGAGGATTTACAAGGCCCTGTCACATCCCCTAGATCCTTGTTTAGTTCTAAAATAGCAGAGGCTTTAACCTATTATGTAGGTGAAAGGAACTCTGTAAATTTCTCCCTGAGTTTGGATAGTTTCTGTCTCTCCTTCCCTTGCCCCTCTGCTTCCTCAATTAAAGTCATTCACTTCATTTTATGTTCATCTCTATACCTGTCAATATTCTAATGAAATGGTTATAAGCAGCATTTATCAGAAGAATAACATAAATAAATTATGAAAAATGTAGAATAATATACTTAATACTTACCAGGGTACACAAAATCTGATATGCTTCTTAAAAATTTACAGTATACAATAATAATATACACATTACTACTATGTGTAAAGTTTAAACACATCTATTTTGAAAGTTAGGTTAGCTCTTATAGTATAAGGAAATGCTGTACAATATTAGTACCTTGAGAGCAATAAATAGAAACCACTGATAAAACAGCCCATACAGAATTTATGGGACTTTTAGGAACTCTTTAATGCTATTATATTAAAACACATTA